GAGCTCTGGCTCCCTTATTTCACTGCCATCTGGTACCCTGCTGTCTGAATTTACACACTAAGCGTGCATTTTGGGTGTGTTTCCTGGTGGACCGTGTGGTTTTCATGTTTTGTTTCTAACGCTTCACTAGTAGTCACTGTGGGTGTTCAGTGAAGCGTTCCCCACGTGAACTGAGTGTGCCTGTGGACCTGAGAAACTGGACTACAGTCTGTCAGTAAGACCATTGGTTTCCTCAACACTGGACGGCCTCACAGACTGATCTTTTCTCACTCAAGGCGCGATGACCTCAGGTACGCACAGACACGTTCCTGAACACCGTGATTTCTCTGTAAGACTGTAAATATCCTGCCTTGATGCCATGGGATCCAGGACGTTCTTCCCAGAACACGAGGTCGTCATGTGGTTGATGTTCTCATTCCCTACACTCTCCAGGTTACGCTTTTCATTTCATCCCGTAGTAAGAACTTGCAGTTCCTTAAATTTATTAAAGTTTCACCCTCAGCTGTGCTTGTACATGCAGCTTCCTCTCTCTCCCCCGATTTACCTGAAGAATTTCCCCTCCTTCTTAAAGAATCAGCTCTGAGCGTGTCCCCTCCGGGAAGCCCTCCGCACAGGCTGTTAGCCTCGCCCTCCCTGTCCCTTCAGCAGGTTTCTTCAGCACCATGACAGCCACTGCCCCCTCGGCACTGACCACCTGTAACGTCTCGGGGGTCCCCAAGTCTGGCCCAGGGCCCCCATTAGCAAAGGGCAGGGATGAATGATTTGGACCAATGATTCCCGAGTGTCCACTCTGTGCCAGACACTCTTCCGGGAAACCCCTCACATTGTAACATGCCCGAGAGCCCATCTCTGACAGCTTAGATGGGATTTGGAAACCAAGAGGGACCAGGCAGACACGTCAGGGAACGCCAAGTCTGAGCTGGCGTCCGTGGCACCTGGGCCCATTCCCAGGGCCGGGGCCTCCACGGAGAGGGTCAGCTGGCTTGGGCTTCCTACTGCTGACCTGTCTGGAAACCCAGAAAATACCCAAACCCCACATTAGCAAGGCCCAATTCCTAACCATCCTCAGGGATTTTATCTATTTGAAGTCAACAAAATACAGTCAAAAGAAGAGGGAGAAACTTCCAAATGAAAGTGCACACACGGTGTGTTGATTGGCACCAAGAAAGGTCTGAAGGAATTCTGTAGAAATCCCAGGGGCGTGAGGAACACAGTCCTTCCACACCCCGTGATGCACGCCCTGGTGTGGGCCCTCCAAACATGTTCTGGAAAACTCTGCTGTTTCTAGCACCTGTTGGCTTAGGAATAAAGCAAAAAAGCAGAAACCTCTCCAACTAATAATGTATCAATATCGATTCAATTTTCCCAAAAGAAGACAGTAAGTAGATGTGTCTCCTCGGGTCTTCCTTCTTTGGCATGAAGGTCTCTGTCTAGCAGCAGAAGGAAGTTTTGCAGAAACTGCACCTGATTATGTGCACTCTCCAGGGTCTGTGCACAAAAGTAAAATTCCAGATCATCTCAGAGTGAGCTGTCAGTATAGATTCATTCCTTCATTCACGCCACAAACATTTTCACAGACGATAGATAGATACACAAAACAAACATGACAAATAAGACATGGTCAACACCCCGGAGAGGCTCAGGTCAGAGAGAAAGACAGAGACCACCACGATGCGACCTGCACTGTTGTCCACGTGGTCGATTAAGACTCCTCTGTGAGCACGGAGCTGGGGACACATTAACAGGACGTTGAAAATATAAAGTGAAGATGAGACGTGAAATTCGTTAGATTTTATCTATAAAGCTTTGGTTATCCACAATTATGGATTTTTCACAAGCACATTTTAAAATGACTACAATTTTCTAATGGCAATCTTTGAAAGAAGAGTTAAAAATAACAGATTTTGCTATTCCATAAGGATCAGGAAAGAAAAACCTATTTCTCCACCTAAAATTAAAGGGTGTAGAGTAAACCTCTCAATTAAACAATATGAATGTAGGAAAGCTCACTTTGTTGCCTTCGTCTCCGCCGCCTGGGCCCCGTGCTGCCACCTGCTGGAGCCCCAGCTCAGAGACAGGCCTCGAGGCAGCTTTGCCAGTGGGTCTCCTGGAACTGGAAAAGCCGAGGCTCCCGCAGGAGGCGCAGGGTCACCTGCTAGGAAGACGGAGTCGTGGAAAAGAATCTCAGCTTTGTGTTCAACACGTTAGCACAGATCCACACACGGCCGTCTCACCGCCTTCGGGACCCTCTGACTCTGGTTTAGGGAACACTGCGGGCGCCTGACTTTGGGGAATTTAAATCCAGGACTGAGGGTCAGGTGGACCACAAAATGAAGGACAGCAGTGGTCACAGGGGGAGCAGGTGCAGAGTCGCGGAGAGGAGGACGACTTGACCGGAGGTGGGAGTAACACAGAGAGAAGTTGGACACACCCGTGGTGCCCGTGCGTCCGGAGAAGCACTCACCGGCACAAGTCCCTGCAGGAGGCAGAGGGAGGCTGCTCTCGAGTCTGTTTCACGACAGTTTAGGAGGAGAAGGCCAGTCACTGATGCCATCGGGGACTCACAGAGGCCTGATGCCCACACGACCTCATCTCTGCCTGACCAGGGCCTGTCCATGGATTCACGGTCTCTCCACGCAGGCCTGGAGAGCAGGCGCTGGCGCAGCCTCCGTGCTGGGCCCCTGTGCTGGAGCCTGGCCCCAGCTGGGGGAGCACTAATTCCTCAGGGAAGAGGCGTCCTCTGGGCCCACACTTACGGTCCCTTCAGTGGAGGCAGAGTCGTGGTTTCTCCCGGCCACCTGGGGCCCCTCAGACCGACTGAGCCGACAGACCAGAGGGGGCCTGACCCCCAGTCCCGGGGAAACTGGTTGCTACTCGCAAGGGACGGGAAGACCACATCTGGAGACAGGTGACACACACACAGGTCTCTTAGACGCAGGTGTGCGACAACGGAGGTCGATGAACACCTCGGCAACCACCGGACAGGACCACAAAAGACGTGGACACCCGGCGAGGGCAGAGCCCCGGAGGGCGAGAGAACACAGAACATGGAGGGAAAAGAGGAAGTCATGACAATGACCGGCCTCCGTGTGCAGCTGCAGAACTGGGGACCCTGACAGCTCTGGAAATGCGCATTTCTAGGCAATCCACTGTTAATTTCCTCCCTGCTCCTGCGATCTTGTTTGAAGAGCACTCATGGTGGATGCTGATGCACTTTACGGTTGCAGGTGGGGGCGTAACAGAAGGGAAACCCTGAAATCTCACTGCCTGGCAAGCCTGGGGTGTGCCCCTTTGAGGAACAAATTTCTCCAGCTGGACAGTGACAGGCGAGGGGGCAGTGCTCCTTGGTCTCCACCCCAAAGCCCCCTCCCCCGACTTGCTCTGCCTGGCTCAAGGTGCAGGAGGCTCGCCCTGCTGTCTGTGTCTCATTAGAGTCGGCTCTGCTGAGGGCAGGCCCAGGCAGGTCTCCAAAGGGCAGGAGGACGGGGCTGGGCTCTTTTCCACACGTGCTCCTGTTTCCACGCCGCCTCCTTCCCAACAGACCCCGCTTGCCAGTCGAGGCTCCTGCCCGGTCCCCTCCGACACTCCCCAGCTCCATGAGCTCTGGCTCCCT